GCGTTGGTTAGGGGTAGGGTTGGAAGGAAAAGCAAGGGCTGCTAATCGGTTAAGCTCCGCTGCGACATCGTCAAGAGTTTGATTAGGTCTTTGCCGAAGAGTAGCAAACTGTTCCAAGGCAAAGCCTGTGTGGATGGGGAAGCGAACATATTCTTTAGGAGTTGGCGGGCGTGAAGGAAAGGGGTAGTGGTTTTAACCCCTGCGGCCATTAGTCGTCTGCGAAATGTAGGGGGAAGAAAGTGTAAAAGAAAAGCTGTTTGCTGGTTGGTAGGAACCGTCGTAAAGAAAATGTCTAGTTCGTCCAACCATACATTCAAGTCTGTGCCAACCTCGAAGGTGTTCGGGGCCAGCAGTGGGGAAGGTGTGGGCTGGACGGGGATGGGTGGAAGGGTGTATAAGGGAGGGTTGAATTGGGCGGGGGTCGGAAAATACAAGGGAAGGGCGTCACCGCCTGCCACCAATGTAGCGTCCGAGTCGGCTGGAGGCGGAAGATTGAAAGTATATTCCTCAGGTAGATTTACCGCTGGGGTTGATTGGATCGCTACAGGCTGAAACGAATCTAAGAACGGATTAGTTTGAATAGATCCTATCGAGGAGAAAGGGTCTGACGTAGAGGCTTCTGATCGTAAACTGTCTGAAGGTGGGGTATTCTGAAACAGAGGGTTAGGTTCCCAAGCTTCGTAAAGCAAACGGGCATATCTCTGTCCATCGAATCCATCAGACAATTCATTATGATTCATGATAATAAAAGTTTAGTGAAATAGGGAAATCTGGTTTATTATAAGAACGGTAATAGTATTGAAAATCGATATGTAACGGAAAACGAAAGTAGACAATCTAAAGGTAACGTGTAACGTAAATGTTCCTACAGGATATGGTAGTAGCGTGAAAGAGGTACAATATAGAAAAACGTATAATCGTGGGGTAGAAAAATATGGTGGATTATAACACCAAAACAGAGAGTTCATGTAGAGAAGCGAGTTTGACTTATCGAGTTCCAAGCAGCGCCGAGGCCTCACGCTGAGCTCTGAAAAAATCAAATTGAGCGGGGGTTAGCCCAATAAAACACACGCGGCTCAGTTAGGGTCGCTACACGGTCCCCCTCCTAAGGGGTGGCACTGTCCTCAGTGCTGGGGTCGACTATGGAGCAAGCTTCAGTAACTTCTAGGGCTACGTGGGGGACCTGGTCAGCTGGAACTATGGTTAGTTGATCGGGGGTATCTGGGGGACAGGGGGGAAGTTGTCCGTGGTATCGCTTAAGCTTGTCAAAATGGGCAGTGAATGGTGGGTGGGAGGGGTGGTCAGTCTCGCAGAGGAGCAACGTGGTAGGGGACTGGATGGCTATCACCGTGACGGGGCCAACCTATGAATATTGGAATTTGGTGGGGGTGCCAGGA